CTGGAGCGGGCGAGGATCACGAGTGCGCGTTTGTGTTACGGTGGCGTAAACGCAATGTGGCCTGGTTCCGACACATGCTAAGTAATTTAGTTTCTTGCTGGAACGCATATGCACACTTCATCTGCAAAACTTATTTGCCTGTCCCGTAGCTCAGTTGGTAAAGCGTTGGACTCCCGGTAGTTAGAGCCCGGGTTCGAGACGCTCAGGCGCTCGGTATTTGAGACTCCTGACGGGGATGGTATGGTCTGCGGTTGGTGGGAGCGGCCGCAGCCAGTTGAAGTCAGTTGAGTGGGACAGGCCGTGTCGGGCTTGGAAGGGCACGTTAAATTTGGCAACTAAATTCTCCCGTTATCCGGAATAGCGCGATCGGACGGTAGGGGTCGGAATCTAAGCAACGAGCTCTGCTTAGCGTGGGCTCCGGGCTCCGGCTCTGCCAAACCGTCCACTCAACCATTCAAGCTATATTTTCTTTTATAAAAAAACACATGTAGGAACGCTTCGCAACAGCTACATTTGTCCTGCTCCCACTGGCCTCTTCTCGTTGTTTATCTGTGCGTGTGACCTGGCTAGATGTACTTACATACAGTTCGACAACGTGTCTGGAGACGGGCAGCCCCGTAGATTCACCTGGGATTGGCCTAACGACCGTGCTGGCGCCCGGTCTGGCATTTTTTAGTTGAGGTAGAGGAGAGCGGCGCCAACTCCGGATAACCGTCGTAGTATACGAGCATAGGGACGTTCTTCTAAAAAGAAAAACTGTGCTAGCAGCTGGATGCCAGCGATGTCTGCATTTGGGCCTTGCGAACAGGAAATTGTACCGTTTCTCATTTTAGCGTTGAACTTAGGTTGCTGTCATTCCGCTAACAGCATTTAACATGATTTAACCAGTCCATAACTACTCAAAAGAGACGAAATATCGAGAGCTGTTGTGCTAGTCATCCCAGTTAGGTCAGAGTCAGAGGTATGATATGTTAGCGAAAATCTGCCTCCTCTGACGAAAGTAAGAAGTCTTCAAACTGTCATATTAATGTCATTTCAACCTTGAGCTTGATCAGTTTTTTTTTCGTTTGTGTATGCACTTATGTACATCTGATCCAAGGCCATATAAGTATGGCCTTATATGGCTTACATCGGTCCGCGACAATATACCTAAAGAGCCTGAGCTCTGGCAATCGGTGCGCACTCCACGCTTTTTGCTTTTGATCACTTTCGATGTTGAAAAATATCTTCCATATAGTGCAGCTTGATATACCATTTTTACGCATCCCTTCAGTGGATACTGGATACCGGACCTGTAATAATTAGCTTCATCTTGTTTCATCATGCTGTTTCACATTGTCAATAAGGAGGAAATTTTTATTTTTAAGTTTCACACCAAACGTCACATATATCACTAAAGAGGCTTCTAAAGCATAGGGTAAGGGCGGGTAAGAGTACGCGGGCGATAAGAGTACGCATCAGCTGTTTCGGTTGCTTAGCAACGCGGGTTTGTCGAGTTCATGAAGTGACATGAAGCCGCCAGTGCGTGCTTGTCACCAACGGAACGTGGGCGTTGAGCGGCGACGCTGTTGAGTTTAAGGCGATGAATATTATTTTCGAGCGTTATGATATTATTATGGTATGGTAAAATAATGTTGATATTTGGCAGTTCAGATAAGGTACATTTCCGCGATTGTTGTGGGAAACTTGTGAGGTTATCTGGGGAAATACTGTGCAGTGCAATATTCTGTTTGCGAAGTTTTGCACAACGTTTCGGGGTTGTTTTGTGCGCGAATGGCATGTACGGTAAGAGGACGCACTGTTCAGGAGGGTAAGAGTACGCAGAATTATACATTAAATCGAATATACAGAAATATACAATTATTAATCTATCGCTCAATGACGTTTGTTTTGTAGGTATATCATCAATGGAGCACTGTGATGCAGATGCGTACCCGAAATTCTTTTAAATACGAGTTATTCTCCCTTTTGATTGTGCATGTTTTTAAAGAAACACACGACATGATTATTTACTGATTTATAGACTTGAAAGATTTATTTTATATTTTTCTTTTTGGATACTAGAATTAACTTAAATGCCCTCTGAGTTTGAAGTTAAGCATTTGGACAGTACAAGCTACATAGGTGTGTGTTCATATGCTTGCGTACTCCACCCGCCTGGCGTGCGTACTCTTACACACCCCATATGGTAAGAGTACGCAACTGCAGCGGTTCAGAAAATGTCAGTTTTAGACCACTTCCATTTACGCTGAAGGATCGTTGCCCCATGGGATGATGGCTAATTCAATGAACTTTAATATTCCCTATTTGCGATTTCTTTCTTTCAAATATTAAACAAATGAGAGCAAGAAATCCACTAAGTGCGTACTCTTATACGACTTCACCCTATTTACATAGCGCTACGGGGACAGAAGAAGTGTTTATATACAGCGCTCTCAATGTATGTACATCCAATGATCATTCCACATCCATAACATGTGCAGCAGCGCAACACACAAACAGGTGATATTATGTACAGATCAAACACGCAAGAGAGATCTTCGATAAAATACATCATTCGTTTTGTTAACAGGCAACAAGCAGGACAGCAATGAAAGAAGACGATATGTGTCAAAAGTTATGTACATATATACAGCAATGTATGGATGGCATACATTTATGTGTGCATAATGCATGTATGTTCAATCATTGTCAAAACGCATACAGGAATAAAGTGCATGTTGTTGATTGTTATGCATATCTTTGTTTTGACAACAGATCATGTATGTTTGTACGTGTTTGATGATGCACTGTAACATTCGACAGTTGCGGGAATCCAATAAAATGAAAACTTACAGAAACTCAAATACATCACACATAAAAATGTTGCAAAACATGATAAACAAATAAGGAGCATATGAAGAAGTATTTGCTTATCGAGTAGCAGTTTGGTGATAAATTTAAAACAAAAACAGTCGATGAATATGGCAAGCAATCAAAGCAAAAAGAGACTGATAAAGCAGGCAGCGTTCCAAAGTCAGTAAAAGATATTATCAAGATAAGGGACACAAATAGGGATAAAAAGGGATAAGACACACAAAATGAAACAAATCATCCCTGAAAAATGTTTTGAAGCAGCAGCTGAAAACGGCAACTGAAATAAAATGCGCCGGGTCAGGGAGCATCGGGAGACGGCGGCGCACACATAACAGCGACCATGGCTAGACACAGGTGGTGGCGCGGCGTCCGGCCGCGGCCGCCGCACCCTCCCGCAGCCGGCAGGTCACACCACATGCGCGCAGAGGGGCCAGCCGCACCCGCGAGTGGCACCGAGAGCTCAGCACAAACTCGCGGCGAAATTTACCTGCGAAAGGTCACAGAGGTCACTGCAGAGGTCGCGCCCATGCCGGCCGGCCGGGCGGAGCATTGGGCGGGCTATACATGTGCAGCACAGAGATACATGCATGTGAGAGAGGCAGAAGAATGGTTAGTGAGTGGCTATTTACATGGGAGCGGTCGCGATATGTCCGGCTACGTGCGGTGCATGAAAACATAGAAAACACAGCGTCTTTTATTAACATTTAGGTATGCCTTGTGAGTGCTAGATAGTATATACAAGTGACTAGAATATATTGATTGGATAAACGCTGTCCAATTTTCACCGGAGTATAGAAAGCAGTGTTAAGATTAGGAGTAGATATGCAAACCCGACTGAAAACACAGTAGCAGGGATTATTTTTCGAAGTTTTGTGCTGGTAAATATAGAAGAAGGAAATTTCGGTAATTATTAGGTCAGCTCCTTGTCGACCGTTACATCCACGGCCCGGTCTGAGTCGGCCTAACAACGCTCCCTGCGGCCTCCAACTCGCATCAGTATCCTCTCGGGTCCCTACTGCCGGCGCGAGATCTCCCTGGGGTCTCAACTGTGTGCACCAGCGCTCCTCCGGGCCGCTCTACCGTCTACAAACGATGCACTTTGATAAAGCTGCCTCGCGTTTGGAGCATCTTATGGGATTAATCTCAAATCCCACCTCATGGGAAAACAAACTGCGCTGCTAATGACGCAACAACTCTTCCAAGCAATCGTGACTTATTATTGGCTAAATATTATCAAATCGGTCGAAAGTGCGTAAGTAGTGTTTTGTTACAAAAGGTAGATATATTTTCTTAGAAATCATGTCCATCTCGAAGAAGTAAGATTTAGAGATTAAAATTGAATATTTTGAAATTGCTCTATCAACGTGTACACTACTAAATACCAATTTCCAATGCCCACAAAACAAACACTTTTAACCAATCCCTACAAGACTCCCACTGTCGGAACTGTTGTTCCACCCATATAAGGCCTTGGTTCCACCCAAACCTGTGGAGTCAGCAGCTCTGCCTTTCGCCGGGCGGCGGCGCTATTCCACATATCATTAATTACAGGACTAGGTCTCGGTATAATTAGAACGTCTCCGGGTCCCGTGTCTGATGGGTCGGCGGCAGGCGGCGCGGCTTCAGCAGAATCTACCCCACCTCCTACAATATTACAGCGCTACGCCTGCTTAACCGACGTCCAGCCTGTCGTGGCTCGTGAGGACTCATGTTACCCATGGGTATGACACGGTTTAATGATGGCTGCAACTAACGGTATCTTATAAAAAAGTGGGCAACGTCTCGACAAAGATGGCGGTTGATGTGTCCGTTTGAATAAGATGTACAAATAAACATAACTTTTTGAAACTATCAACAAAAACTAAGCAATAAATGACGACTCAAGTGCCACATTTGTAGGCTTAATCGGTCGTAAGGAGCGCGACCAGTGGGTGCGTATTGGACAGTGGTGGGGACGGCGGCACGCGCCGCGGACCCGAGCGAAAAGTGGGTCCATTCGGCCGCACACGCTTGTGCGAGACGGACGCGTTTGTCTGCCGATTCGTTCTTGTGGCGAATAACAAATCTAATACTGATGCTTAGTTTTGTGATGGAGCTTTAAATGCACATGGGGTTATATAATTTGTTCCACACTTATTACTCACTGCTCATAAAGTTGTAGATGATTGGGTTGACGGCGCTGTTGAAGTAGAACAGCCAGTGAGCGATACAGACGGCCGCCTGCTGCAGCTGACCTTTGATGTCATCCTCCTGCTTCCAGCTTTCCCCCAGCGCGGCTCTGAAAGAGAGAAAGAGAGAGAGAGAGAGAGAGAGAGAGAGAGAGAGAGAGAGAGAGAGAGAGAGAGAGAGAGAGAGAGAGAGAGAGAGAGAGAGAGAGAGGAGAGAGAGAGAGGGGATAGAGAGATACGGTTAATCAACGACAGTCAACTAACGACGTACGCTTGGTTTTCCCATGAAACTAATTTTGACCGGTCAGTTTTCGCAAGCGAATTCGGAAAGTTCAGAGTTGCATTCGCGATGTCTGCAGTTCTACCTTACAGTCGTCCGATCTCAACAGTCATAGATCAACAAATGTTTAAATGCATTTCATTAGCAGCAGATTGATCTTCACATATTTGTGATTCATACAGGCATTCATTTCACGCATTTGGACATGTACACTCCTACAGTCATTCAGGCATTGTCCACGTGATCATCTATGCAGTGTGTAAAAGGAAAAGGAAATTACATGTGTCTGCCTGTCAGAAACTTTCGCGTACGATATCAGAGCGTCAGTGAGGGTACGTCAGTCATTTTGAGCTGTCCTCAATGAAGACGCTGCTTCCCTGTTAATTTGATTCAATGGAGCCTTAAGGCATGTAACAGTCGTTTGCGCATTCTAAATGACGTGAATGATGCAGGACCTTGTCAAACCTTGTCAAATGTTTACTTATTAAATATATGCTTCTTAGATAAATTTTCTATTACACTTAATCACAATCTAGCTCAGGGTTCAATGTCAGATATCAATTTTGAGTTGTTATTCAGGATGGCAACACTCCCAGCACGAAAACAGCTTGGGAATTTTGTGTTTGAAAATGCTACACTTTTATCTCCTAGTTTTATCTTCCCCTATCTCATGCAGGGAAAAATTTGGGCCTTTGCCAATGGCCACCCGAGGAGGAGATGCCACATGTTGGGCTCTTATTAATGCAGCATATCAGAACCCGAAATAGCTCATGGCCAGTTGTTGGATATTAACTGCCGAGTTTACGGGCAGTTCACAGGAAGAGAGCACTTCGTAAGGCTGTAGGAGCAGGTGCTCCTCGGCTACCAGTGTGAGATGGGGAGGTTTTACTCCTCTGGAAGTGTGAGATGACTGAAATGTTACTTGGCCGGAAGCGTCAGGCGAATTATTCTTTGTGACTTTTGTCTCGGATTCAGATCATCTTATACATAGTATACTACTTGAATATCTTGTATCATGCACATCGAAGACCCGTAATTGCTTTATACCGGGTGGCCCAGAAAAAACGTTCCCAACTGTTGCCGACAAATTGCACCTATGCAAGGCGGTACGGGCGAGAGACTCAGCACTGCTGAGCCGAACCGTTGCCGCGCCGCCGAGCCGAGCGCCGTCCGCGGTCGCGGGACGCTGGCGTCCCCTCTGACCCGGCTGGCCGGCCGGCGCGGCAGGGCGGCTCCCTGTTTGCGTAGGACCGGCCCAGGTCCGGGTCATTGTGTGGGGCACGCACGTGCGCGCCCAGCTTGTGTGTCTTCCGGGTGGAGCGCTGGACGCCCGGGCCATTTTTAGCCTTTTCTGTGTGCTCTGACCGTCCTCAACGCGTCTTGTTTTCACACCCTGTCGCTGTATATAAACTAGTTGTAAACACCCCCAGCCCTCACTTCACCTTTCGACTTCGACGGGGACACTGCGCTGCCCCTAGCTCTCTTCCCGGTACGTTTCGCTGCCTTGTCCGCCAAATATAGTGAACTAGAAGACAAAGTGTGTGAGAAGCCCGAGTGAGAAGTGAAACAGTGCGCGGTCTACACACAGATGAGATATTCGACGGAGATGCGGCAGGCGTATCGGTTCCGGTGACCAGGTCTACTGACTATCCTTTTTTATCCTAAAACATTCCTAAAACTCTCTAAGAAGGGGGTTCCTTTGTCGTCGGCATCCGGCGCTCTATATTTAGGCCCTAACATACGCCCAGAGAAGGGGGTTCCTTTGTCGTCGGTATCCGGCGCTCTCTTATTTTAGGCCCTAACATACTCCCTAAGAAGGGGGTTCCTTTGACGTCGGTATCCGGCGCTCTCTTATTTAGGTCCTAACATACGCCCTAAGAAGGGGGTTCCTTTGCCGTCGGTATCCGGCGCTCTTTTATTAGGTCCAAATATACTTCCTAAGAAGGAGGTTCCTTAGTCGTCGGCATCCGGCGCTCTATCCTGTATCCAATATTTAGTTGTATCTTAACTAGGCTAACGTGATAGGTTATAACATTTATTTTCCCAATTTTCCAATTAAACCATTTTCCTCCTGGATCTCGGTCACCAAACAACCAAATGCTGTGCGATGCGCGATTAAATACAGTCCACACCATGAAAGGAGATTCGAACGAAAGCGTCGCCAACATTTTCTGGTCCTCCGGGCCGGATGGTCCTGGCCTGAAGTGAGAACTGATGACCTTCGTGGCTGCCCGTCGCCGACTTAGTGATTGATTGTAGGTTACAAGCTGTGCCTCGTGTGTGCCAGTCGGATCGAGAAGAAAATTCCGATGATGGAAGATTCGACTCAGGCGGAGAACACAGAGACGGTGACGGTGAGTCAGGACACTGCCGGCGAGGAAGCTGGAGACACTGCATGCGTGTTGAAGCACCTGAAACTTCAGCGCGGGCGCAAGGCCGCCGCGTTTACTCGTGCCTGTAACACGGCGGAGGCTCAGATCGCGCGCCGAGCTAGCGAGGAAGAACTAAAGAAGCGGCTCGAAACCCTGAATGCGACACTGGATGGTTTCATGGAGGCCAATGACACCTATGTTGAGAAGGTGCAGGAGGTCTGCGAACTGGAAGAAGCGGAAGAGTACGCCACCCGACTGACGGCACGGCACGCCGAGACGGTGAAAAGAATTGAAGAGGCGACTACGCACCGACCAGTGAGCTGCTGCGCGGCGTCGCAAGCAGATGACAGACCACCACCATCAAAGTTGCATCACGGGGGGAGTAGAGTGAATGGATCCCGTGTTTCAGGAGTTTCCAGAGCGGCGTCCAGGGAAGCTGTAATAACGGCAGAGATGAAAAGCCTGGAGCTGAAGCATTTGAAAGCCAGGCAAGACAGAGAAAGGCAGCTGAGAAAACAGGAGGAAGAAAGCACAGCTCAGAGGAGAAGAGAAGAAGAAAGGATGGAAGAAGAGAAGAGGATGATGGAGGAAAAGGAGTTAGAAGAGGAGGTGGAACGAGCGCAGCAGAGGGCAAGACTTCTGAGGGCTGCAGAAAATGACCTTGAATGGGAGCGGAGAAACGACTTTGATGACGAAATCCCAGTGGAGGTGGAGCCTGAGCAATGCGATATATCGAGAGCCGTCCGTGATACGTCAGGTGAGCAGCGGCCGGCATCCAATGGTGGCGAAGTTTCCCGCTGCATCTCGTCATCACCCAGAGCTGTCGGTGTTCCTCAAGGTGAGAATGGGGTGCACAAGAATGACGGACTGGCTCGTGCCAGCTGGATCGCACCGCCGGCCTCATCCCGACGGAATGACCTGGCAGGACCATCAGCGTTCGTAAAGAGCATACCGCGACTGACTCTGCCAACGTTCCGTGGAAATGCACGTGAGTGGCCGCGCTGGATTGGTCTTTTCAAAGCCTTGGTGCATGATCAGCCGTCCCTGTCGGATGCTGAGCGCATGGCTCACCTTCAAAACGCGGTGGAAGGGCCCGCGGCCCAGGCCATTGACGGCATGTTATTCAACGGTGACTTGTATCACGAGGCCTTGAAAACCTTGCAAGATAGGTTCGGACGAGAGGAAGACATCATCCAGGCCCACCTGCGAAATGTGTTCATGACCTCGCCACCGTCACTAATGGACCTCCCAGCGATGGAGAAGTTTTATGCGGTCGTCCACAACACAGTCACCGTCCTGCGAAATCTCGGCTATGCGAGTGACCTGTCAAGCAGTGAAAACTTGAGAAGAGTGGTGGAAAAGCTGCCGAGCGAGCTAGCCCGAGAGTGGGGCCGTGAAGTGTTCCGGCTGCGACCGACGCGACCGACTCTGGAGACGTTCACCGAGTGGCTCCAAGTCCAAGTCAGCATCCTGAGCTTCTCTGCTGTCCAATCCGGGACTTCAACATCGGAACGGAAACGTGCAACAGTTGCTTCAAGGGACGGCCCTGTTCGGCGAACAGCGCTGGCGACAGGAGCTAATGGTGAAACCGAACCAGAGGCCCGCTCTCTGCCAGTGTGCGTGGTGTGCAGCAGTAACCACAGGCTGAGCGACTGCTCAGAATTCAAGGCCAAGACCCCAGACGCAAGAAGCGCTGTTGCCTATGAAGAAGGTCTTTGCTTTTCATGCCTCAAGAAGGGCCACTGGAGCAGAAGCTGCAAAGTGTCTCGGCGGTGCAATGTGAAGGGATGCAAGCTCACGCACCATTCGCTTCTCCACCGCGGATCAAGTCGGTCAGGAACCGATCAGAGCAACTCGAGGAGGGATCAGTCGTCAGCAGGGACAACCACGGGAGCGCCTGAATCTTCAGCTGAAGGTAGTTCCGGGAACCAGCCGTTTGTAGCGGCCTCGGTAAAAACGGACACAGACACACTGCTACAGATTGTTGCTGTGCGGGTTCACGGGCCCCGTGGTTCGACAGACGTTCTGGCACTCCTGGATGCTGGAGCTCAGACATCACTGTGTCGTGAGGATGTTCTGGAGGAGCTGGGCGTTGCCGGGGAGCGACACCCGCTCTGCATACAAAACGTGGAGACCAGTGGCACTCAGCGTCCGTCCGAGAGAGTGAAACTGAAGATCAGCCCCCTTGGCACAGGGGCAAAGAAGTGCATTAACATTCCTGAAGTGTGGTCTGTGCCAGCGCTGAATGTGACTGCGACTTCAATGACGAAGAGTCAGCTTCAGAGGTTTGAACACCTTCGTGATCTGGAGTTCCCGCAATATAATGGCGGGCAGGTGAAGCTGTTGATCGGTGCAAACGTCCTTGAAGCAGTGCTGCAGAAGGAGGTGCGTGTGGGACGTCCGAATCAACCGGCCGCTGTGAAGACAGACCTAGGGTGGACCCTGACGGGCTGCGTGTCTGACATCGTGCCCAGCAGCAGGCGCCGGGTCATGTTTCTGAGACGTCAATCGAGTGACAGCGAAGTGGAGCTGTGCGCTGCCGTCAACGAATGGTGGTCTGCAGAAGCAGCTGGAACAAAGTACAGTGAAACGACGTCACGATCGGAGATGGATAAGAAAGCACTCCAGATGCTGGAAAGAAACACGACCAAAGGTGGAGAGCGATACGAGACCGGTCTGCTGTGGAAGGAGACAAGTCCTACAGTTCCCAACAACAAGCGACAGGCTATTCAGCGACTACAGGCAACGGAGAGAAAGCTCGAGAAGCTTCCAGAGGTCGCAGGGAAGTACAAGGTCATCATCAACTCCTACGTCGCCGAGAGACATGTATCGGTCGCTGCTGTCTCAGCAGACGCACTCAGAGAGCAGAATGAGTTTGAGCTGGGCCAGCAGTTGCAGGAGGCCCAGCAGGAGTTGCAGAAGCAGTCCAGCCAGTTGGAGGAGCAGCAGCAGGCAGCTGCCAGACTCCAGGAGCAGCGGACCACGGCCACCGCAGACTACAGGAAGGCAGATGCCGGCCTCACCAGGGCGTTGGCCGCTGAGCTGGCCGCCTGTCGGGAGCGCGACCAGGTCCTCTCAGACAAGGCGAGCCTGGTACAGCAGCTGGAGCGGCGCGCTGCTGGGGTGGCCCGGCTGACGGCTGAGCTTGAAGACCGGGGATCTGAACTGGCTGCAGCTCATGCGGCCAAGTGTCGGGCGCTGGCACAGGTGGGGGAAATTGCCGCCAAGGAGAGCAGTTTCCAGTACAGAGAGAGGAAGATGGCGAGTGAGAAGGAGGTGTTGGAGAAGCAGATGTCCCTGCTGCTGGAGAGGCTGAAGTCGCAAGCAGAGGAGCTGTCCACGCTGCGCCGCCTGCACAGCTCGCGGATCCTCCAGCTGCAGGCCGACCTTGCTAACAAGATGGACCAGCTGGGGACGGAGCAGGCGGAAAAAGAACGGCTGACACAGCAGGCGGCCGACCTGGAGCAGCGGCTCACCGAACTGGTGGAGAAGCCCCAGCTGCAGCATGAGGCCGAGATCGAGCAGGAAGAAAACTATCGACAGCAGCTGCGGCCACAGGAGCGGCTGGCGCAGCCCTACAAAGAGGGCGTTGAGAAGGTGGAGGCCAGGTCGAATGAGATGCTGCGCTCGGTGGACGAGCTGCGGTCACTGCTGAGCTCGGCCAGCGAGCAGCAAAGCCAGCTGGAGGTGCATCTGGACGAGACGCACACCCAGCACGGCCAGTACCTGGTGGAGCGCGACAAGGTGATCCTCCAGCTGCGTGACCGGCTGGAGACGTACGAGGAGCAGCTGCAGGCAATCACCCGCAAAGGTAGCCTTTCAGACGAGGCGGTGGAGGCCACGTCACCGTCCGCCGCCCCCGCCGCCGTCAGCCGGCTCCTGCGGCAGGGTATGACGCCCACACAGATCTTCACCGGGTTCAGTCAGGCCAAGGAGCAGCTGACGGCCACAGAGGCCGAGAGCAAGCAGTTCAAACTGTGCCTCGACCAGATCCTGAAGGACATTGATAAGTGGACGCCGGCCATCCAGAGGCAGCAAGAGGATTATGAGGCGGCGGTGCAGACGATCGACTCTCCCACAGGCAGCAATGACGAGGCATTACGGGAGCTGGAGACAGCACACGCCAAGCCTGACGACGCCGGCCGGCGACTGCGTACCGTACAACACAAGAGGAACCGACTGGTCGCCCAGACAGAGGACCTGGCAATGCAGGTTTGCGTGCCGCTGAAGGAGGTGGAGAAGGCGCGCGGCGGTCGTCACCACACTCCGGGACGAGCTCGAGCTGGATACCTCCGCCGGACGGCTGATCGCCCAGCGTCTGGTCACCTTCTGGGGCAAAGAGGAGCTCCAGGCGCGCAACCAGGACCTGCTGTCCGTGGTGCGCGCGAACTGAGCGCCGCCCGGGAGGAGCTGAACACGCAGCGCTCATGGCTGCGTCCCGTGGACAACTGATCACTGCCTGCTGCGGTCATACGCCCGATGTACCAACCGTCCGGCCCCCCATGGCCGGTGCCACCCTGCTCGTCTGTGCTTTCTCGGCGAGGGTATCCAACGGTCGTCCGTCATTCCCTTGTGCGTGTGCATTTTGTGCCTTCCTGACGGGGACCTGAGTTCCGGGCTCAGTGAAAGGGTCCGGTATCCGCGCGCGAGTGTTAGGCCCGCTTTATCTCGCTCTGCACCTTCCTGGAATGCTGTGCGTGTTTTACTTGTATGGAGCTTGGAAATGATAGTTACCCGCGCCCGTTTCGGTTATCACCTTTGCTTGACTGTTCGTTTGTGCTGTTCAATTTGTCGGTCAAATGTATGTGTTCGACGTTCGCAGTGAAGCCGAACACAGGGGGGAGTGATGTTGCCGACAAATTGCACCTATGCAAGGCGGTACGGGCGAGAGACTCAGCACTGCTGAGCCGAACCGTTGCCGCGCCGCCGAGCCGAGCGCCGTCCGCGGTCGCGGGACGCTGGCGTCCCCTCTGACCCGGCTGGCCGGCCGGCGCGGCAGGGCGGCTCCCTGTTTGCGTAGGACCGGCCCAGGTCCGGGTCATTGTGTGGGGCACGCACGTGCGCGCCCAGCTTGTGTGTCTTCCGGGTGGAGCGCTGGACGCCCGGGCCATTTTTAGCCTTTTCTGTGTGCTCTGACCGTCCTCAACGCGTCTTGTTTTCACACCCTGTCGCTGTATATAAACTAGTTGTAAACACCCCCAGCCCTCACTTCACCTTTCGACTTCGACGGGGACACTGCGCTGCCCCTAGCTCTCTTCCCGGTACGTTTCGCTGCCTTGTCCGCCAAATATAGTGAACTAGAAGACAAAGTGTGTGAGAAGCCCGAGTGAGAAGTGAAACAGTGCGCGGTCTACACACAGATGAGATATTCGACGGAGATGCGGCAGGCGTATCGGTTCCGGTGACCAGGTCTACTGACTATCCTTTTTTATCCTAAAACATTCCTAAAACTCTCTAAGAAGGGGGTTCCTTTGTCGTCGGCATCCGGCGCTCTATATTTAGGCCCTAACATACGCCCAGAGAAGGGGGTTCCTTTGTCGTCGGTATCCGGCGCTCTCTTATTTTAGGCCCTAACATACTCCCTAAGAAGGGGGTTCCTTTGACGTCGGTATCCGGCGCTCTCTTATTTAGGTCCTAACATACGCCCTAAGAAGGGGGTTCCTTTGCCGTCGGTATCCGGCGCTCTTTTATTAGGTCCAAATATACTTCCTAAGAAGGAGGTTCCTTAGTCGTCGGCATCCGGCGCTCTATCCTGTATCCAATATTTAGTTGTATCTTAACTAGGCTAACGTGATAGGTTATAACATTTATTTTCCCAATTTTCCAATTAAACCATTTTCCTCCTGGATCTCGGTCACCAAACAACCAAATGCTGTGCGATGCGCGATTAAATACAGTCCACACCATGAAAGGAGATTCGAACGAAAGCGTCGCCAACACCAACTTTGAATCAATATTTCTCAGAAAGTGATAAAGATGCAACACTGAAACTTCCAATAGTCAATGCGGCCTATATTTTCCGTGAATGGTATGATTTTTATGTTATTCGGTCAATTACTTTTTAAACGGTTCGTGTTTCTAGCATGCCATGTAAAAATTACTTTTTTGCTCAGATGTTTACTAAAAACTGTGAGTGAACGGGCCACTTCCATCTCGGCACCACGGCCTGCAGCCATGACTGCTACTGACAGCTAGACTCATTGATGGTTCAGGCCGCAGGGTGATACATTCCGGCTAGCTTTTTTCGTTATTCGGTCGATTTACTGTTTGATCTTCTTGAAGGGAGGGCGATGAGCAGTAACCCATGCACCGTGCCACTCCTTCTGCTCGAAACAGGACTTAGCGTTGAAACGAATGGCATCCATTAACACCATTTTGGCTCATTATTTGAATATTTGGCACATAAGTGGGATAAAAAAATATTTAAAATAACAACATACGTGCTGGTTTCATTCACGTGTTCTATTTTACTATCTTTTTCTAACGTAGTACGTCCAAGCCAATCATCACTTCCGTTCAACATCGGCAAAAAAAGCAAAAACATCTTACTTGATTCAACATAAGATTGCTGGCTTGAAAATGATGGTACAGTGTTACAATTTAGTATGCCAATGCGCAAAGAAGTGATGCAAACTTGATGAAAATTTTGGCTCGTTATTTGCACTCCAATTTGAGATATAGGCCTCCAAAGTTGGGAACGTTTTTTTTGGGCCACCCAAGCTCTTGGTGCAGAGCGTGGCATACACTCACCTGATTACGATGATGAGATGAACACACAGAAGACAAAAGGCGAATATGATGACGACGACGACCAGCATTTTGGCGGCCTTGCGCCGGGAGCGTATGTGAGCCGAGACGGTGTCGTGACCTGAGCCGCCGTGCGAGCTGTTCCTGCCGTCTGAAAACACGCAGAAAACACAGATGAAGGCATATGTGGACGATATGCCGAACTGGGGATGCCCGGGCGCAGCAAATCCGCCGCCGCCCTAGCGATTACCTTGACCTCCGCCGTCTGTTGCGGCTCCAATGTCAAGCCGGCGTGAAGAGCTAGGGGATCCCTAACCCGCGCCCCACTGGGGTCTGCGTATAACACGCCCTACTGGGGGGGGGGGGCTAATATTCATAGCCCCCCCCCCCTCCTAACTCCGAAACTACTGGGCTGATCGTCAAAATTCAAACGGCGTCTGATAGCCCGGAAAAACTGTCGAGCGAAACCTAATTTCATTGACCTCGAGGTCACCGATGACGTCACAGGTCAGGTCAAATTAAAAATTATTAGCATTTTGGCTTGTTCACGTTTTGGGCTCTGGCCGCCGTCTTACAAGTCAGATCAGGCTCATTTTTTGTTCACACACTCGTGAACAGATGCTCTAGATACCCTGAGGGTGCCAAACTTGTACTTTGATTTTCAGGTCAAGGTCAGGTCATCACAGGTCACGAAAATATTATATCATGCGTCGGTCACATGACACATGTTTTATGGTCCATTTAGGCGAAAGATTTCGAATGTGATATCGTCTGTGTCATTCGAAGTCATTTTGAGTCGAATTTAGCTTAGGTCAGGTCACTTTCAGGTCAAAAAAGGTCAAATTTTGAAGTTATAATTTTTCAACAGAAAAGGTGTCTATTGGATGCAGTTTGAGCTCAGGAACACGATGGTGCTATTTATATTGGCGTACGATGTCAAATACGTGGTGAAAAATTGATTTGAAAAATTAATAATTGTTACTTTTTTGCAATAATGCGTATAACTTGGCCATTTTTGAAGATATTTAGCTAAAACTTGCTAGAGTTAGTCATAATAACGCATTCTATCACATATATTCCGGGTTTTTCGAAAAGTCAAAAACTTTTTGAAAAAATGTATAAATGTAAATTTTGAATTTTATTATTTAAAATTTTCAAAATTTTCAAAATTTCGAAAATCCGAGATAGCAGTTTGAGAGCGCAGTCTATTCTGAGTCCTCTCATGCAAAGAAATTGGATCTAGCTTAAAAACTGAGCCCATGGGAGCGATTGCCGTGGTTCAATGTTTTGCGTCGAAATCGGCCGAACATGACGTCAGTCTGACGTCATTTCCGGCCGACCTATGGTAGCTACGAAGTTCAAATTTTGACACAAGGTGTCAAATTGATGGAGCCGAAGGTACTGAAAGTTTGGAGTCGATACATCAAGCGGTTTGGAAGTTATTGCAGAAAAACGGGAGGGGGGGGGGCTATAAATAGCCCCCCCCCCCCCCAGTGGGGCGCGGGCTAAGATTGGCACAAACTGTAGCAATTGTGGAGCAAAAAAGCAAACCATTTATGGACATGTTGAAATGGCTTTACAGATTTTACAGATGAGATAGAAATGACGGGTGAGTGGCGCGAAGTGTCACAAAGTAAGCGTGTATGTCTGTTCAATAATACATTGCCTTTACGACGATAACAGGTGATGTGTTACTGTAAGCAGTTACGCACTAAACTTTCTACTTGCCTAATCAGTGAAATATACCGTCAAAAAGCCACTACTTTAACGTCAGTTGCAGTCAAGCTCCTGCTAAAGAGAAAGAAACTATTGCACTATTCAGCACAGCATGGCACCAACACCAAAAAAGCATGGCGCATAACGTATGCATGAACAATCTTGGCTCATTTCAACAAACACAAATGGTAGGCAAACATTAGTGCAGGCGAGTCTGTCTTAAAATTGGCGCAACCTCATAGCAATGGGCAGAGTTTCACATTACCTCTCACAAACAAACTACGAATTGGTCAGCCAATTTCCACCCAATTCCAATAAACTGGTGAAATTTCACGGCGTTTTCCGTCGTAAAAACCGACCACCAGCAGGACAACGAGCGCAGTCCACTGATGGGACGGCGATTGCATTTGGATTCAGAGGGCTCCGTTGCTCGCTTTGGGTGAGCCGGCGAGCCTGTTCATCTTAGTCCGCGATGGGATCAATCACTGAGTGGGCATTAATCTCTGGTGGATGCTGACTGCCTGGGAATGGATGGCGGCAGCCGCGGAGTGAACCAAGAGGGTAGGGATTCAGTTGCCAGTTGCATACGCAGCTATGGAATAGGGTATGGCAAGGATGATCAGAATGCGAGCGATAAAGTCAATAAACGTGCGGGAGCTGAGCTGGGGCGTGAACGCACACACCTACAAATATAACAGAGAGCATTGCTTCGGTGAGTGCATTTTGTGAGTATGTCCCTGTTTGTTTTGTTTAACCATAAAGACGTTTATATATGCCTGAGACTGACAGGGGTATAGCTCTGTAGGAAGATATCGCATTGTAGTGGTTGTGCCATTGCAGCAAGCCCTGACTCAAAGCTGTCACCACAAACAGCATGCACTGAATGCTATCATCCTCATCATCTTACTGCACAATGAACCAGGGTACGGGAGGGTGAAGGCTGCACGTCAGACCAAACGTCAACGCCGCCTTAAAATGGTGATGAATGACGACAGGACAAGGGGAAAATGCGCTATTTCGCAGTTCTATGCTCGAAAGCAGATAAGAAAACTATGTAGACGCCATCTTTTACGCGTTGATACTGGAACACGGTTTTGAGCAGCAGTCGAAAAATTAGCTCTTGATTTGAGTAGCCTCGTTGTAGATATTGTTTTCAATATAATCAAATTCTATCATTTGTTGTTCTAGAAGACGGTCTCTAGCAACTGCCCAGCCGTGTATAGTATATGCAGACGCTCTGATCTTAAGACCCGTATAGTATATGCAGACGCTCTGATCTTAAGACCCGTATAGTATATGCAGACGCTCTGATCTTAAGACCCGATACGTTCAGCGCCTGCTCCGCTCGCTCACCTGATCCAGAGATAGCCGAGTAGTCCCGCGACTCGGGGTGGCCGGGGATGGCCGGTTTCCACAGGACGCGCACGATCTGGCAGTAGGTGAAGAGCATGAAGCACAACGGCAGCAGATAGAGGCAGACGAAGTTGAAGATGGCCGAGTAGAGCTCCATCTGAGCGCCCCAGGTGGTGGCGCACGAGGAGAAGTAGACGGTGCCCTTGGGACTCCAGTCGTACGGGTGCACTTCGCTCCACACCATGTACGGCGTGCCTGCGGGGGGGGGGGGGGGGTCGGTGTGCATTAGCGATGTCGGCGGAACGATCTTTTGTAATAACGTAAAAAATTATAGGAGTATTCTTGAGGATTATTTTTTGAAACTGATTGATGATAAGGTGAAAGTGGCCAAATTTGGCTTGGTTGAATCATTCCACAGGTTAATAGCTATCCGACAGTTACTCGTAGCAATACCTTTGCGATAATTACTCGCACAAATGAGGATAACATTCCGGCTATGACCATTTGGATGCAGTATGCGCTTCACAACACCATGAAATAGTTCTAAACCAAAGGCGAGATCTCATAGCAATTCAGAGTCGTCTGATATTAGCAATAACATAGTTTACTCCAGCAGCCCGAGGCATTTCCTCCACAATCGCCACGTCAAAACTCGGAAACTATTTACTTTCTCGTAAGCCTGGCCGTCAGTCTGGCTCAATGTGACAGGGTGGACCCTGGGGACCCCATCACGTCACCGGCAGCGCTCACCAATCATGATCGAGAGTATCCAGATGAGAGCGATGGCCTTTTTGGCCCATCGCGCGGTGGCTCGGAACCGCAGAGGGTGGCACAGGGCGTACCACCGGTCCAGGGAGATGAACGCCAGCGTGAGCACCGACACAGCCACCGACATCATCTGAAAGAGGGGTAACAGGCCATGGGTAATGGGTATGCATGTATGTATGTATGTATTGACACCAAAAGCCTTCCACATATGGCGTGGCGATTACGGCGATTACGGGTCACATATCACAGGTCACAGGTCACCGACATCATCTGAGGGAGGGGTCGTAGGTCACAGGTCACAGGTCACAGGTCACATGTCACCGACATCATCTGAGGGAGGGTCGCAGGTCACAGGTCACAGGTCATGAGTCACAGGTCACCGATATCATCTGAGGGAGGGGTCACAGGTCATGGGTCACATGTCAGAGGTCACCGACATCATCTGAGGGAGGGGCCGCAGGTCACAGGTCACAGGTCATGGGTCACCGACATGACATCATCTGAGCGAGGGGTCACAGGTCACAGGTCATAGATCACAGGTCACAGGTCACCGACATCATCTGAGGGACGGGTCACAGGTCATGGGTCACAGGTTACCGACATCATCTGAATGAGGGGTCACCGGTCACAGGTCATGGGTCACATGTCACCGACTTCATCTCAAGGAGGGGTCACGGGTCACACTCACGCGTCACCAAAATCAGCTGAGGGAGGGGTCACAGGCCACAGGTCACAGACATTATCTGAGGGAAGGATCACAGGTCATGGGTCACAAGTTTTAGCTACCGACGTCATCTGCAAGAGAAGGGTCGCGGTCCGCAGGCCACACGTGAGTTCCTAAAGCGGCTTTACATTTATTTGCTTTGTAAGCGTAACGTCATCAAAGATGCAACAGCCTGCTCCTTACACTTCTGACGTGACGCCAAACAATTGTTTTTTTCGCGCGGGGGAAAGCACAACGATCTTAAAGTTCCACGATCACCCAAGAAAACAACATAAAGGCTCTGTAAAGATAAATGGTGGCCTAATTTTACCAATTATCACAACAAAAAAAAAAAAACAGGAAGCTGGTGCGGCGGATACTGCGACAGTTTGTGAAGTTTAGCTCGGAGAGCGAACAAAAACATAAGTGAAGCCGAGCAGTGTGCAGTGTCGGGTTAAGCTCGCTGATTTTTCTGCCCAGACTATAATCACTTTCCAGACCTAGGCTAAAAATAGAAACCCTGGGATGCAAGTTTCACTTGACTGATTAAAACATCACAAGCAAAGCTAATGTATCAAGACAGCCTTGAAACCGGAACTGGTTTGAAGCGCCTCTGGGGCTGTAGGGCGGTGCCGGTAAACATCGTTGGGGCTATCACCACCACACGCTGAAATGCTGATGGAAAATCGATCGCCATAAGATTTTAGGCTGCGATCAAAACAACGAAAGGTTCCACAGATGCTGGCATTGAAATGTAAGAAAAATAGGTATGTACGAGTATGGAATCAGTCGTGGACATTAGTCTTACATTACGAAGAACGTATTATATTTACTTAAAGATGGACTGGTAACTATTAAGTAGGCAGAGCTTGCGCAAAAAGTTGTTTTGAAATTCCAAAGTGATATGCGTCGCTTATTGACAGAAATGGGCTGCACCTAATACTGTTCACCAGGTAGCCTTGGTCCAACAGCACCGCATCGACATTGCCACAAAAGCTTCCCTTGAATGGCGATCCAGCTTTCAAGGGGCGGCGAGCTATTGAGCTGTTACGGGCTAAGGAGGTGCAGTCGCCATGATTCAAGACCTCACCGCTGTATTTATTGTCATACAATGAACACCAGCAACAAACAGCTTTGTGGGGCATCATATTCGTGGGAACGTTCCAAGGCGGATACAAAGACCTGTTATTGTGCTGAGTTCACACACATAATGGCATGTGGAGAAGGAAAGAACTTTCAGCTGCTGGCTCGTCTTTCTTCACTTAAATACATCTATCGCACTTGCATTGTACGATAATCTGTTGATGACTATTGGAACTAGGCAAAAATAGTTTCTGAGTGTTGTTTCTTATTTGAAGCGTCAAATATACCTATGTCCGATGCCCAAAATACCTACCACGTAAGAGTGCGATTGAACTGTGAATTGTAAACTTGAATCAAATTGAGCTTGTTTATTTACGTAACAATTCCAGAAAGCCAAACGCTATCTCATCTTTGTTACGATCGCTATCAATCAATTAATTAGGACCTAAAACGGTCTGCAGCAATCAACGTTCAACTATCCTAAATTAATTTCTGATAAGGTTTTATTGAAGTGATCAAATCTAACAAATGGAATCGCCCATCAGTAATCGGGGATGCTCTGAGCTTAGTCCAATGTCCGAGGGATGAATTGTCGGAGTGAAATAACTACTCAGACAAAATCCAGGTTAACCCGCGCCCTGCTGGGGGGAGGGGGTGTTTGAACACCCCCCTTGTGGTTTTTCGCGAATATCTCAAAAACGGCGGCGCGGAGCGCCGCCGTTTTTGGTACACCTTATCGTACATCAATTCTACACATGTTGTGAAAATTTCAGACCAAGGTCATTCAAGGTCAGGTCACCAGGTCACTTGAAGTGACCTCACCTCATAAAAAGTTTCAATGTCTGTCATAGCTACACCGAGTGACCGATCGCTTTGAAACTTTCAGCGATTGCTAAGAGCAATAGCATGTACAAAATGTTTATCTCAGAAGTTTGATATCGATGACCTAAGGTCAGGTCAATTTTGCGACCTCCCCATTATAAGTCAATGGGAGAAAATTGAAATGCGCCTCTTTTGGACAAAAGACATTATGAACACTCCCAAACACCGAATTACAAGTGGTTTAGACACACTGAACATGAAAATGGTGTCCGTGACCCTTGTTTATGCCCTGAGGTCATCTTAGGTCACGAATAGTATCTAACAGTTTTTCGCAAATAACTTTTGATAGAGGCATGCTAGAGCGATGAAAACGCCTTAGATGTGTTCAGCTCGACGATACGGATCGACTGATATGCAACATGACCCTTTCCGGTCAGGTCATGACCTTGACCTGATGTCAAATTTTCAAGTTGACCTTTCAAGGTCAACTTATAGTTCATTCGATGCGTCTTGACGAGAGGAACACAATGCCGGTAAAAGTAAGCTCGTACAAGGCTTGGGTCAAAAGTTATTGCAGAAAAACTGTTTCCGAAAAAATCGGCTATTTTTGCAATTTTTGCCCCCTGCAGGCAAAACCTTTGTCGTTAGGTCAAATCTGAGAGAATTATCCAGAAAGGGCTTTAATAGGGCTATCGAATGCGCTTTTCCGCGGCGCTGTAGCTCTATTGGTTCTCGAGTTATGCGTTGGCTTCTTGGAAATTTTCGACATTCGACCTGGAAATCGGCGAAATTTTGCCTTCAATGACCTCTGGTGACCTGACCTTTGACCTGACCAAAAAATTGACCGAAGTGATTTCGTCATTATTTTTGACGCTCTTTCGAACGCCACCTTCCGCGAATCGCTACGTGGCCCAGGAGACGAGTTACAAGGGGGGGGGGGGTTCAAACACCCCCCCCCCCCAGCAGGGCGTGGAAATCCAGGACCCCCAGCCGGGCGCGGGTTAAGATATTGTGCAGTGCATTGCAAATGAGCATTGTTCACTGTTTTTCAGACTGACAATCACAAACGAGGACATTGAGCATGCGTGCTACAGCAGCCGAACCAGCAACCATCAAAAAAATAACCGCTACCTCCAAAATGAAACATATAATGCACAGTGCACTTCAAAGTGCTTCAAAGTTTTAGGGGCGCCATAGGCGTCTCTAATCGGGTAACTGGTATGTATGTACCATTGGACATATATTTGCGCCCCTAGATAAGTATCAAGTTATATTGTATGTTCATTTTACGTAAAAATAATTCCTGCCACAGGCACCACCAATCACCGCCACCACTGCCGCAGATCAAGTATGGCGTTACAGAGCAACTATTATAACTCGCCGCCCTCATCGACTGCACAGTCAGCCGGACTGAACTTAATCGCACGCCGTTCGTCTCTGGCGGCTCAGTCCGGACATTTGTTGGGGGTGGTCAGGTCTGTCCCAGTCCGTCTCGGCCGTATCCGGCCCCGGCTCAGCAGGGAAATTTATGGACGACAACCGACTTGGGTTAGCTTAATGCAGTCCCATGGGGCCGCCTACCAACCGCGCCTGAGAGATGGTCGTCTCCTTGTGTTAAAGCACTGCCATGACAAATGATGAACGGGTACAGAGTACAGACAAAGGAGAAACCAAACTTGCGGGCCACGACACACCGCGTAGATCACACAAAATTAATGGATAAACTATCAAATCTAATTCGTATAGGTAGGTCATTTTTGTGTCATATCAATTGCAGTGAGTTCAATTATATAGCGTGGGAATGCGTACCTTCCTATATCATGTGCATCTAGCAGTTCAGCACAATATAAGATAACATTTGTGATATTCAGAACTAGAAAATTGCAATGTCTTTACATGAAGGTAAAGTACCAAAGGAATAATCTGTGAGAAAAATTTTTGCTTCTGGCTTACTTTTGCAACTATTGTAAATGTTTATCAACAACATTGCATGCGTGTTCTTGTCACTCAAAACAGCCGCATGAAGACCAAAATAACACCACTAATGATCGCGGATCGTTATCATCAGCGACGTACCTAGTTCAGCACCGAACGGCCGCTGATACAGGCTCGATTATACTGCCCGGCGCCCATCACAGCCAATCAAAACATAGTCCGGCGAGATCTCACACCAGGGCGAATCTTACCGACCATCCATCCAGTCTCGGGTCGCTCGGACTGCGCGACCTCTTGGCCGGAAGACGGACCGATCGTCAGCCTGTTCGGACAGCCTCGGCTGACTTCAGGTGGGCGTCAGCATGCTTTTGGACCGGCGATAAGTGGTGGTTTTTGGACCCGGCCCCAGAGATGTACCGTGCAAAATGAAGCGGCCCTACCTAATCTGACGAGTGATTCTGCGAGCATGAGTAGTGCTAGTGCACTGTTCAACAGCATTAAGTACACCTGTAAGAGCTAGTGCGAAGAGAGTAAAATAATAAAAGCCCATTCCAGTCTCATCGGGTACCCATTTCTTTCGTTTTATC